AACCTGAAGGGCGTTACCACTGTAGGTTTCCCGGGTTTCCCTTCCCAAGCCGATTCTGATGAACAAGTCTCTGTAAAGGCCGTGGTGGGGCAGCAGGACCCCGGTAGCCCACCGGTGGCAGGGGCTGCCGGCCCGTCCCCAGCTCAGGGTCTGCAGTGCGGGGCGCGGTGGGTTGCAGAGCTCCCCTTTTCCCCCCAGGAAGCCAGTTTTGGTTGTAGTTTCTGCTTTCTGGTGAAATTGAAGGGTTTAAAGCTTTTCAGAGCATTTTGTGGTTCATGGATTCACTCAGCCCTCTTGGACTCAGTAACAGCTGCTCAAAATCGTGCTGTTTTTTGGCTGTCGCCCCGTCTGCTCATTTTCTGGCGACCACGTGCCTGTTTAGCAGGAGGCCGCTGACGGCACGGGCTTAGGCTGCCCAGCTCGCTGCCTCGCTTGCTTTGCTCGAGTCAGCATCCAGAGAAAACCAGCCTGGAAGATGGGAGGAGCTGGTCAGTGCGACCCACTGATGATACGCGCCTGCTCGAGGGTAAGGACGGGACCCCCGGACCCCCCTCCTGCCCATCTCTCCTGCCTCGCTTTGCCTGCGCTCCCCTGCGCCGGGAGCCCAAGCCAGGTCCCGTGGCTTTCTTCAGCCTCAGGAGGAGTTTCCCTGCAGCAGAGATGGCGTCACCCGTGGTGCACTCGACGGGAGCCGACTGCCACCCTGCGTCGGTGCTTGCAGAGCACCGGTCTGCCGAGGGGGCTGAGCAGAGCCTGTTTAGCGAACCGGAGAAGCACGGGAAGCAAGAAAGCAAAATACGGGCTGGCAGGGCGACAGCATCGCTCCGTAGCAGAGGATCCGCACAACAACACGCACGTCTAGCACTGCTTCCCGGTTGTGACTTTATTAGCCATCCCCTTCATTTTGCAGCAAGCTCTGCTGGAGCCCGGCAGCCTGAAATCCTCATTGATCCATCTGGATGTCCCGTAAATCCTATCCCGTTCCCTTCTGGATTCGCCTGGTGCCGTGAGCTTGCAGGCTGCATCTCCCCTCCCCGGCGGTCTGCAGCGGCCGGGAAGCGATGCCTGAGCACGGCTTTGCTCCGCTCAAAAGGTGCCGGTTTTTGTGCTCTTGCAGTTCCTGGGGTTGGCTACAGACAGGTGGACAAAGCTGTGTTCGTCCAGGTTTATAATACAGCTCTGATGCTGCCGTGGTGTTTCTGAGGCACGGACAGGTACCGAGGTGAGGTAGGCACGTTGCAGACTCTGCTTTTACCAGGTGGGGACAGCGTATGGAAAAAGCATCGTTTGTTCCTGCGACTAACGGGTGTGTTTGGGCAGGTGGAGGAGGAGCTGCAGGAGCAGGAGTTTCTCGACCGCTGCTTCCAGGAGATGCTGGAGGAAGAAGACCAGGACTGGTTCATTCCGTCGCGCGACCTGCCCCAGGGCATGGGGCAGCTGCAGCAGCAGCTGAACGGGCTCTCCGTTGGCGACGGCCACAGTTCAGAGGACATTCTGGTAAGGGCCTCGGAGAACGTGCTGCGAGGTCTGGCGAAGAGCAGAGGACTTGTCCAGGAAAGCAGGGGGGGTTTCCATGGGGGGTTTCCTTACTGGCAGTGGGGTGTCGGTGCAAAAGCTGGTGATAACGCACCGGTGACGATGCATTTTGGAGTTTTCTGCAAGGCTATTTGTTTTAGCCACGTATCCTAAAGACAGAAGTATCCAGCTTTGCACAACTTGCTCTCCAGAAATGGGGGGACGGGGCTGCCGTTTGGATGTGAGCGGGGCTCTGTCCCAGAGCAAACTGGGACCTTTCTCGCCTTTTGGGCAGAGCTGGGGTGTCCTGGCAGGCTGGAGAGGTACGGGAGGACCAGCCAGGTCTGCTCCAGGGGTGCTGGGCGCCCCGAGCTTATATAGGTGTTTAGAGTGGTGAAAACCTAGGTGGCTGGACGAGCAGCAGCATTAAGGCAATGCCTGTTTTCATCCCTGAAAGCAGGAATTTGCCGCAGGGCTGTATGGACCAGCGCGGCGGGGGGGTTGTTCTGGC